ATCACATATACCCTGTTACCTTCAAATAGATTTTAAGTATGTACACCTGGTTTTCAAGAACTTTTAGCATATTCAAATCATGTACAAGGACATTACCTTTTGCGGTTTTTCTTTTTCAATTTATCCACTAAAATTACTTATATAAATACTGTGAATGAATCATTATTAATTTATTATTATATCGAAGATCTTCGAGGAGCAGTATTAATTGTATGCAACAAATAATTTCAAGGAAATGGGATCAAAACACACAGGTTTTATTAATTACTCCAGTTTTCATAATCTTATAAATGACACTTTTCGTGAGTGAATTTTTTAATTGATGAAAACCGTAGAAGCTGTATGTCGTCACCTAGCTTATTAGCCCTTAGGGTCGAACGCGTCAGATTCCAAGATTTAGTGAAGTATCAAAATAAAATTGCCTCTTTGAATGTTCTTAAACCCAGTATCCCAAAAACCCCCGCTTAGCATAATGTTTTTGAATAACTAAAGATGTACTTTGATAGCCTAGATAAAATTCAGGAAAAAATCCTGAAACTTGGAAGAAACCTTAAATATACAATTATGAATAATATATCAAAACTCCTCCTATATCCTTGGAGTGGAGCTTCATTTTGTTTAGGTTAAAATGTCAAAAATTTCACGTTTTGTCATATTTCTGTAAAAGTGAAATAGTTACCACAAAAATATCTTACACAAACTTTGTAGAAAATACAATTATCGATGAAAGTTGTTTAAGTACTTACTTTTATTCCTTGAGTTACCGTTCATGTGATTAATTGATCTGTGGACTCTCAGTTACTATTCTGCTCTTATGTGGCCTATATATTTCATGCACGCTATCAACCATTCGATATGACCATATATGTGGAAGCATTGATGTATGTGATATGTACATACCACTAATATTTATATATAATTGCTCAACAGACTAATCCAATTTCATGGCTATATAATGATATCTTTACTTATAGTGTGCATAAATAAAACAAACATACATCAATAAGATGAGGTAGGATCAGTATTTGGGGGCAAGTTAGAGCTACTAGACAACGCATTTAACATTAGCTTAGATTGGATGGTGTTGGTAAAATCTAAAAAATTTCATAGCGTTATATAACGAAAATCTGTATGGAGATTAAATAGGAAACCGGGGACATTAAAATCGCCTAGTATCAAAGCTTTGGGCTGGTTGATTATTAACATACTCATGTGTGACAAAAAACTTTCATAAGTATCATAACTGTTATACATGAGATGTATGCGAAGTTTTGATATACAGGGTGTTAATTACATATGTACCATAAACTTAAGCCTATTATTTGAGTTATTTTAAGACAAAAGTGTTGTTTTGGTTTATAACTTTCAGGAGCTAATTTAGTCATAACTTGATTAAATTTCAGTGGCAACTTGAGCGGGATCTGAACAAATACTTGTGACAAAAAAATATGTGCAGTAGACTGCTGTCTTGATTCGGGTCTAAAGGCTGTCGTCGGTTGGAATTTCTTCCTAACGTTAGGACGACGGCCTTTAGACCAGAATCAAGACAGCAGTTTATCAACTGGCCGTGAAATCCTTAACCAATTTGTCAATATGTGCAGCTATTATGTTCCATGGATTAAGCAAATAGACATACAACTTTTTTCTCTTGAATTTTTTTCATATGTTGCTTAGTAAGTCCACTTAACTGGATATCCTTGGATCACGCAAAGAATGTGGGGAAAAGTTTCTTTTGAAAATTATTTTTTTACAATTTTTTATTGATAATTACATAACATCAAATAAACACTAAATTAAATTACATTACATTAACATCAAAACTGATGGTTTTTACTAAACTATGGAACAGTAAGTAAGGGTGATGGCCTTGGAAAACAATTGAGCATTTAGTAAACAACTTGACAGTCGTTAACTTAGTATTTATATGCTATTAATTTATAATTTGTAAAGTGTTTTTTTTTGTCCAATATTGTTCAATTTACAATAGTGAAAAGGCAGATATGCAGTTCTGTTATGGAAGTGCTCATGGAAACTCTAATGCTTCAAAACACATTTATCATGAACTATTTCCTCAGCATGTAGTGTCTAATAGAAAAACTTTTGTACATCTCCCTGCATGATTTTCTGAAACAGGCAGCTTTAAAAGATCAATGGTTGTCATTGGAGGCCTGCAACTGTATGCATAGTTCAAATTGAAGAAGCTGTTTTAAATGAAATTGAAGCAAATCCTCATGCCAGTACTTGGAAAATAGCTGAAGAACTGAACATTACCTATATGTCATATCACAGTGTGTCAGAATTTAAGAGACCAGCAGCTATATCCATATCATATGCAACATGTGCAAGCTCTATTGCTCAGAAATTTGCCTTTAAAACTAACTTTTTCTGATTGGTTACACAGTAAATTTATAAAGAATCAGTTTTCTAAGTCAAATATTGTTCACAGATGAAGATTATTTTTCTCAAAATTATAAACTTCCACAACAATCCCATTTGGGCAGAAAACATTCCACTTGCCCTTATAGCACATCATTTTCAAGACCAGTTTTCTTTTTAGGATTGTTGGTGATCATCTCATTGAGCCTCATTTTTTTCCACCTAGATTTAATGTAGAAGAATAACTAAGGATTTTAGAATTCGGTTTACCTGAACTTTTAGAAGAAGTTCCAGTCGTGGGCAAGTTTCATGTGGTACATGTATGATGGGGCTCCACTATACTTTAGTGTAGTGATGCGACAATTTAAAAAAAAAAAACATTTCCAAAAAAAAATTGTCCCCACATTCCTTGTGTAGTCGAAGGACATGCAATTAAATGGACTTGTTTCGCGAAAACTAAGCAAGATACGAAAAAAATTCAAGAGACAAAAATGTTGCATTTCTATCTGCTTAATACAAAGAACATAATAAAAATTGCACAAAAGTAGTGGCGTACATTTTTTTACCACAAATATTCGTTCAGTTCCCGCTCGAGACGTCCCTGGTATAACAAATTTTTATTTTGACTGGATTATTGAGTGGGATTACATAACTCATACCTTTCGATTTTCTCCAGCGAAGTGAGAGGCTTTTCCGCGTACTCTTGGATGGCTGGCGAGGACGCTACTGGGTACTGTTGCGCCATTTATAACTTTGGATTTTACTGTTCTTTCACTTGAACCATATAAGCAGGATTTTCTCAAAAAAATGTTTACCAAAATGTTATTATGCTAAACAATACACCACAAGACATGCATACCACAAAATATACACTGAAAGAATGTTAACTCAGAGTAATTCAACCAGCAACACGAATGTCGCCATGTTGTCATGGTCAATTGGTCAATTCGACGAATGACATATGCCGCCATGTTTCTTACAATGACATACGGCATACGGCGGTGCTCTCATGGTTGCCTACTTTCTCACCACATCTGTCACTCATTGTCATCATAAATCAAATCCAAGGGGATAACCAAAATTTCCGTATTATAATATGGTTCAAGATGACACACGGGATGATGACGTCAGTTACTCGAATCGCTTGAACGCGTTGGTTTAACCGCGGTTTGTTGCAAGTTGTTTATTTTAGAAAAGCGCGTATATAATTTCTGATTATTTTTCTTATCACTTAATAATCGATGCTTTTTCGTCTACAACGGGGTATGGAAAGTTGAAAAAAAGAAAACTTTCATAATATTAATGGGAGGAATGTTTTTTTTTCAGAAAAAAATGTTTACCGATGGAACCATGGCTTTGCAGCTATGATAACTTTCAATTCTCTAAACTTTTCCGCATGTCAAAGAAAATATTTATTGATTTAGTAGAAATGATGAAAAAGCGATGAAAAAAGATATTAACAAAACCGTATACAGGTGGACATCATCCAGTGAGTTTATACGGCCATATTTTAATATTCTTCTGGTATATTGCTATACAGAATACTTTGTTAAGCGTAGGAACTAGATTTGAAGTGTTCCCAACAACAGTAATGATTATAAATAATAAGGTGCTCTCTTATGCTAAAACTGAAGTCAGCCTGTATCAAGTTTCCCAAAAATGAAACTGAGGTACAATAAAAATATTCAATACTCGGCAAAATTCTAACTTGTCACATGTCAAATAATAACCAGAAATATAAAACTACTCCCGAGTTGGGTAAATATAGTGGATACCAAATAAAATCCGATGCACGTCATAGGTGATGTCATTCATAAAAATCATGGTTACCAACAGTTGACTACATTCAATGTGACATTTCTACTTGAAGTTTAAATTTCCCCGTCTCGATTCGGTTGGTAGTGCCGTGCAGAGAAATGTGAGGTTGCCACTTCTCATTTGTTGACATCAGTTGCCATTGTCCTTTTGTCGTACTATTAGTTCTTTATTGTTTAGTTTGTGAGTTTTGCACTATTTGAGCTATGAATCGTTGCCTTGCCAATTAAAAGTTGTTCTTCTCAGAACAAAAGTTACTGTGAAGTGGCATAAAGTATCCAAAATGCCAAAACAACTTAACAGTCGGTGTAAAGAGCTCATATCAATTCTGGCAACAGCGCACAGCTCCAGATCGATGACGTGCATCGGGTTTTATTTGGTATCCACTATACCACAATTTTGCGGTGATAACTATGACATATAACAGCTGATTCATGACGTCACGGATCTTATAACCAAACTGATAACCACACTCGCTTGAACGGATCGGAAACATGGGTGACAGAAACTGGAACTGAAAATATTGAAAATCATTTCTTGAAACACACGATTTATAAAAAAATAAACAGTGGAACCGTGGAGTGAGAAAATTTTACTCAGGTTTTTTTTTGCAAGGTGGACATAAACGCATGCTTAATTAACCCATATATGCCTATTGTCCGGAAAATCGAACAGAGAGCAGGTAACTGTAAATGAGCGTATATTCGAGCCTTGCGCTTCTTAATCACAGATGTCGCTTTAACGCTTGGAAGTTCAAAGCACATTCAAATATAAACAGGTGTTGTTAGGTTAGTTGTAGTTATTTTGTAGCAAAAACGATACAGTTTAACGCAATGGCGCACATAGATAGAGATTATGCTCGATCTTTAACACTTTGTCGGTAAGTTTTGCAAACTTTTAATGATCATTCAGATTTTTGCTGACAGATACGTATTCTCCAAGATATATACATGCTTTTTGCTGCTTTACAGCAGGCGTACAGCAACACGTGTTTTGTCCAGGCAGGGGTAAATTTGCGTGTTCGATAAAACGAACAACAGGTACACAAGGGTATATTTTGTATTTCAGTGGCTTGACGTTGGATGATATTTTGAATACGCTGGATGAGGACGATGATGAGACACTTCCTAACAGCCAAGAGATAGACATTATTTTACAGCCCCCTACAAATGCGTGTCAGGATTTGACAGATGAAGATTCGGGCGACGAGGATTTGATGACCATTGGTAACCTGCCAGGCACACAACTTATGGCAGAAGCTGAATTATTCGGCATTACTCAAGAAGATAAGGAGGAAGAAATAGGAAATGAAATAGATGAGGATGATTTACCGCTACGTAGCTTGCAAGTAGCCATAAAAAAGAATTACTTATGGGAAAAGAGAGATTTAGAACCTCGATCTTTTGAATGGCCAACGTACATCGATGTGAAAACAAACTTCTCACCTACAGAACTATTTTTTCAGTTTTTTGACAACAACGTCATCGATATGTTTGTAAAATATAGCAATTTGTACGCTTCAAAAAAGAACGTCTTGAACAGTACTATCACTGAAGCGGAAATGAAAGCGTTCTTCGGCATCTTGATTTTGAGTGGTTATGTCCAGCTTCCACGCCGTCGTATGTTCTGGGAGAATAGCAAAGACACCCATAATGAAGTTGTTTCTTCAGCCATGTCAAGAGATAGATTCGAATTTATTATGTCAAATTTGCATTGTTGTGACAATTCCAAGCTATCTCAACAAGATAGATTTGCGAAAGTTCGGCCACTTTTTGAAGCAATAAATAGAAATTTTCAACTTTTTTGCCCCGTACGAGCTGCACACTCAGTTGATGAGTCCATGGTACCTTACTTCGGGAGGCACGGCTGTAAGCAGTTCATCAAAGGGAAGCCAATCCGTTATGGATTCAAAATGTGGATTCGTGCAATATCATCTTCAGACTGCGCTGGCTATTGTGTGTGGTTGGAACCCTATCAGGGATCAAACACTCAAATTCCCACGATGTACAAATTGTTTGGCTTAGGGCCATCCGTTGTGCTGCATTAAAGTACCGTATTGCGCCAAATGCTATCTCTCCCGTATCACATTTTTTTCGATAATTTCTTTACTACTGTGCCACTTTTGGAGGAACTTTTGCGGCATAACATTAGAGGTACGGGGACAGTGCGGGAGAACAGAATGTCGAAATGCACAGTCCAGTCAAAAACTGACATGAAAAAAACTACGAGAGGTACATATGACTACGGGTCAACCGAGAATAAAGTACTAATCGTCAAGTGGAATGACAATAATATCGTAAATGTGGCCACGAACAATTTACAAGTACATCCTATTCATCATGTGTCAAGGCTTCAGAAAAGAAAAAAGATTACAGTTGATCAACCTCAGTGCATAAAAGCATACAACGCATTTATGGGAGGTGTAGACAGATGTGACGAGAATATTAGTTATTATCGTACGAGTATCTGAGGAAAAAAATGGTATTCCTGTCTAATCTTTTACCTTTTGGATTTGTCTATTCAAAATTCCTGGCATTTACATAGGCTGCAAGGAGGGTCAATGGATCAACTGACATTCCGGAGACAGATTGCCATGACCCTATTGAAAACTAACAGGGTGTCCAGAAAACGTGGAAGACCATCATGTCTGGAAAATGCAGAATCCCGTTTCATGAACACTAATGAACATTACTTAGTGCGGCAGAATTAAGAAAAAGAAGTATGCGTGTTAACATTTTCTTGAAAATTAACTCATTTTTACGTATATATGCCTAACGTTCGATTAAACTAACAGCCAAAAAATGTATTTTTTCGTGTAGATTCTCAAATAAAATGACTGAATATCACATCAGAGACTATTTTTACTTCACTAAACAGCCCTTAAATCGAAATTCTTGAAAGATTATAATTCAGGCATAAATGGGTTAAGAGTTTGATGACATACTCTAAATTCCAATAAATATCAAAAGTAAAACTGCTCTATTTCATTATCACATCTTACCTATATTAATTATTTCGGAGCAGCATTGTCCCAAGCCACTCCACACGTCGGCACATTTTTAGCGGTAAAGGAAAAATGGCAGCTTGACAGCGGTGAAGTTGAAGAAAGACGTATGAAAGACAAGTAACACTAACAAGACAAGAGACACTATCAATATTGGCAGTGTTGCCAGCTGTTTTTTCACCACAAAAAACGTTGCCAGATTTCCTGTGTTGCGCCTTGTCAGGCCTCAGTTGACCCCACGTGATGCATACCACAAAACATAGACGGCACAAAACAAATACACTGAAAGAATGCTACCTAACTCAATGTAAGTAAACCAGCAACGCGAAAGTTGCCATGATTTTGTGGTGATAGAACAAATCTGACACGGAAACAACACTTGCTTACTCAGAAGAATTCGACGAATGACATATGCCGCCATGATTTTTACAATGACATACGACGGTGCTATCGTGGTTGCTTACTTTCTCACCACATCTGTCACTCTATAATCAAATCCAAGCGAATAACCAAAATTTCTGTTATGTACCGCGGTTATAATATGGTTTAAGATGACACATGGGTTGATGACGTCAGTTACTCGCTTGAACGCGTTGGTTTTAACCGCGGTTTTGTTGAAAGTTGTTTATTTTAGGAAAGCACGTATATAATTTCTGATTATTTTTATTATCACTTAATAATCGGTGTTTTTTCGTCTACAACAGTGTATGGAAGGTTTAAAAAAAAACCGTTCATCATATTAATGGGAGAAATATTTTTTCTTTCAGAAAATAATTTTTAATGATGGAACCTTGGCTTTGTAGCTATCATAACTTTCAATTCTCTAAACTTTTCCGCATGACAAAGCAATCATTTATTGATTTAGCAGAAATGAGGAAGGAGGACAAAGCGATGAAAAAAGGTATTATCAAAACCGAATACACGCGGACATTATCCAGCGAGTTTATTTGGCCATATTTTAATATTCTTGTGGTATATGGCTGCACGGGATACTTTGTTAAGCATAGAAACTAGATTTAAAGTTTCCCCAACAACAGTAATGAGTATAACTATTAAGGTGCTCTACTTTATGCTACAAGTGAAGTCATCCTGTATCAAGTTTCTCAAAAATGAAGCTGAAGTACATCAAAAATATCCAATACCCGGCAAAATTCTAACTTGTCACATTTCTAATAATAAGCAGAAATATAAAACTACTCGAGTTGGGTAAATACCACAATTTTGCGGTGATAACTATGACATATAACAGCTGATTCCTGACGTCACGGATCTTATAACCAAACTGATAACCACACTCGCTTGAACGGATCGGTAAATACCAATCCAAAATCCATTTTCATTTGGTTATTCGCTTGAATTTGATTTATACCTTTGATGACAAGTAATTATGGTCTCCTAGGACACCAGAAATGAATGAAATCCAAGCGAATAACCAAAATTTCTGTGTTATGTACCACGGTTATAATACGGTTTAAGATGACACATGGGTTGATGACGTCAGTTACTCGCTTGAACGCGTTGGTTTTAACCGCGGTTTTGTTGCAAGTTGTTTATTTTAGAAAAGCGCGTCTATAATTTCTGATTATGTATTATAATGATAGGAAAAAGCGATAAAAAAAGATATTAGCAAAACCGTACACATGTGGACATTATCCAGTGAGTTTATAAGGCCATATTTTAATATTCTTGTGGTATATGGCTACACAGGATACTTTGTTAAGCATAGGAACTAGATTTAAAGTATCTCAACAACAGTAATGAGTATAACTAATAAGGTGCTCTACTTTATGTTACAGCTGAAGTCAGACTGTATCAAGTTTCCCAAAAACGAAGCTGAAGTACAACAAAAGTATCTAATACCCGACACAATTCTAACTTGTCACATTACAAATAATAACCAGAAATATATAAATACTCTTGAGTTGGGTAAATACCACAATTTTGCGGTGATAACTATGACCACAGCCGACGTCAACTATGAGCCGTGATGAAAGAAAGGCAACACCGCGCTCGGACGGCATGGTAGTGCTACCTGTGAACGTCGGCTGCCAGCGGCTGTGTGCTCCGTCTCATCTCACATTTTTGAACTAAATTTATCACATGTTCATCACCTGTTAGATTTGAAACTGGTAGTAATTTGATAATTTCTGTTATGTTTCCAAATGCTGAAGATAGCATGAAGGCTAAAACAGTTTTAGCCATGTCATTTTTATTTGAGGCATACCCAACAATGTTTTGTGAGCGATAGTCCAGCCTAGATGTTATATAAATTTCATCGATCATCAAAATTACAATTTTTTCTCTTGGAGCTAATTTAATTGCTATATTCGAAAGGTAGTGTTCATTATTCCTATCATTTTTTGGAGATATATCCATACTTGAGGAGATATGTTGTAAGTATCGCTTACTTGGCAAAATAAAAAATCTTTAAATTAAATTATATGTTGATGATGAGTGGTTATAAAACGTAAAAGCCATTATTATTGAAAGTGATGCATATCTGTGTTTCCTGTTTTGAATTTGTCTCAGCTGATGAGCAATAATCTCTAGATTTTTTGTATATGGAAACCTAACTGAGTCATTATTAATTATGGAAATCGCTGTGTCAAGTTGTTCCAATGCATTCATGATGCAAACTTCAACAGAGTTTTTGTGTTGGTTCTCAGAAAAATAGAAAAAATACCTATTTAGCAGGACCATCTGGTAATTTTGAGATCATATGGCAAAACCCACTTCAAGTCACTAAAAGAAAGCTTACATCCTTTATGAACAACCTGAACTTCCATCTGACCATCAACTATAATCTGGGTATTCAAAGTTAAGATATCATTTTCAAAATCCAATTTATAAAAATATAGCTTTCCATCAGATAATTTATTATTCCATTTCTGTGAGGCTTTAATTTTTGAAAATGAAGAATGTAATTCTTGAAAGTCTTTGATCTTATCCATATCATCGAAATTCTGGATAGCTTTTTCATGTTTCTCAATTAATTTTTGTTTTCTTTGCATTGGGTCACTTCTTTTGGGTGCTTCAGTTTTTGAAAGATATGATATGAAGTTTGGGAAAATGGAGGGACAGCATTTTCTTTCAATTTTGGATATTTCAAAGGTATATTATTTTGGACTGTTCTATCCGCCAAAACTATATTTTCTGTCCTGATGATATCCGATTCTCTAAAATGACGACTGCACACAGCTGAATATTTTGAAGGTGTCCAATTTTTTCTAGGAATTGCCATAAGCCATTTGTTTTTCAGACTTTCGGTACTTGGGAAGCGAAAAGTTGAAACATAGCTTTCTGTTTTCAAAGCAGAATTATAGTTTGCATTGCATAAAGGAACACAGCAACAACGAGGCATATTGTCTGCGTCAAATACTTGACAAATGGAAAAAGAAAAATACAACCTGAATTTGCACGTTTTCAATAGTTGAAATCCTTAGCGTCCTGAGGCGCGAACAGCCACAGTCACACTTCTTAGTTTATTTTTAAAGCACAGAAGCACTACAACTGGAGTCTATTTCTCATATATTATAGTCACCGATCACTTTGAACACATACACACACTTTGAAGCTTAGAAAACAAGCTTATCTCTTAATTACAGCCTCTGGGATTGCCAAATCACAAATTGAAAAGGTTATGTTTTCTCAGCGTTTTGAGCACGAGTTGCGGCGGGAGTAACACTACCACCTACGTTGCCAGATTTCTTTGTTCACGGCTCGTAGTTGACGTCGGCTGTGCTATAACATATAACAGCTGGTTCATGACATCACGGATATTATAACCAGACTGATAACCACACTCGCTTGAACGGATCGGTAAATACCAATCCAAAATGGTAAATACCATTTTCATTTTGTTATTTGCTTGAATTTGATTATTGTCATTTTTATTTGGTTGTTTTGAATGGTTTTCCTAATAACAAAAATTAATTTTGCATTAGGAAAAAAAATTGATGAAATAATTAAAAAACCAGCAGCAAATATTCGAAAATGATTTACCTGGTGGCATTCAACTTTTTCATTTTCCTTGAATGACCATCAGATGTTTCAAGACGTCTTTACAAAGAATTTTTATGTTTAATATACTTAAAGATTGTCATTCTGATGCATTTGTTAATATTTTTGATGATATCATGAACATTGCAAGACTGAAAATTTTCAAGCAGTTGCGTCAGACCTGTTTTGAAGGAGGCTTGAACATTAGGCAAACTTATCCAAGAAACTATACAGTTTTACATGGATAACATCTAGCAGATGACTTAGTTTGTCATTTGCGTATGTCAGCGTCTGCTTGTCCTGTTCCTTGAAATGAACATACATCTGTAATGGGGTCAACTCATCAGAGAACAGTGCTTCCCGACATGTGGGACATTGGGCGATGTTAACATCCCTTTTCACAACTTCCCTAACAAGATGACCAGCAACATAGGGAGTAGCATAGTTTTTGGTTGCATCAAGAGAGCCATCACCTTCATCTCCAGAAGTTTCAACTTTAAAATTGCAGCTCAGTGAAGAATTACAAGGTAACTGCCGTCTATTCAGACAATACGGTTCTAAAAAAAACACGAAGTTATCTAGCTATTCACATGAATCGTCTTCACAATTCTTGCTTTTGGACAATGGGGAACTGAAATTGTTGATTATTATAGTTTTTAAAGCTGCAATAAACTGGTGGCAGGTGGGGTTCGTGTTGGAAATCCCATGTTGCCTAATCTGGCAAAACAGGTTTTCCACAGGATCTAGGTTCAAGTTCCTCAAAGACAAAAATTTAAAACCTTTTGCTTTCAAATTCTTCCACAGATGAATAAGGGCCCTAGTAGTGATTTTCCAACCATGTTGAAACTTGAAGTTCGTACGTCGGGGACCATTGTCAATGTCTAATATTCTCCAGTTTTGGATCTTTGGCAAAAGATCGTTCCAAAGCTGCAAATGTGCCGATTCATCTGATAATGCCATTGACATGTTAAAGGTTATGGACCCGCCCGTACCTATCCTTGTACGTACAGCTGCTTGCAGCCAACGTTAGAAAGAAACATCCGAGAGAGAGACGGAGCTAACGCGGGCAAAAAGCCGCGCGCTTAACAGGATTTGGATGGTTTTAAAGTTATGATATCTTTATAAAAATAGATTTAGGCAAAGGGAATGGGATTTTTATACTTCTACTCGATAAAAAAACGATAATATATATAATATTAATTTTTATTCACGTACTTACAAAACAAAAACCTTAATCTACAGAATACAGTATGAAAAATTCTTAATGATAATTATTGATATTACAAAAAGTTATTCTATATAAAAAAAAAGAATTATTGATGGCTAAAGGGGATAGTTTTGGTCAGATGTTGCCTTATTCTATAGCGCGGTTCATTTTTTGTAGTGTTGATGTGGTGTATTCTAATTGAAAAGTAATTTTTTAATATAAGCCTAATTAATTGCAGGCAATGGCTCTGTAATGGATCCTGATCCTGGAAATGACTTTTCAAGCCAACGAATAGTGTGTCGAAATTGAGTTTCCTTATCGACAAAGATATCAATTTTAGCATAAGGTTTAGAGCAGAAAAGTTTGATTCTGATTTGATTAAGCCTTCTGCACATATGCACACTTTCACAACATCTCTGGATGGCTTACAGAGACCTCCTCGATTTTTTTTATTTAAAAGCAGCGACAAAGAATTGTCCGAAGTTAAAGCATTAGCACATTCATTACAATTTAATGCTTTAACTAATTTCTTGCTGATAAACCCAGCAATATACTCAACAATGTCACAAATATATGTGCAGTTGGCAATTGTGTTATAGTTTTTAATGAATAACTCATCTTCCGCATCTGAAGATTCTGTCTGTTCATATAATAAGTCAGTAGTAAAAATTGAGTTATTTTTGCTTTCAATGGTAACATTTAAAATCGAGGTATTGTCCTGTGCCAGACAATTTGTACTATCTGAGGTAGTTATTTCACTATGAATTAAGAGTCTTTTATATGCATTTTCGAAATGCCAGGCAGTCGGGTTGTTCGAAAAGTCTCCCCTTGAACGGATTGCTGAAAAAAACATTTCAAGATGATCTTGACTTAGCTTATAAGTTACTTTATCGTGCTTTTGATCTGTCAATGAACTTAAATATTCTACAGATTCTTTGATAAAATTTTTGAAGGTTTCGCTGTTTCCCTTGAAAAGAGGCCTTTTACAAGGAGTTTTCCCATAGAAATTTCTAACATTTAAAACGTCAAAAATATTGTTAATTTTTCGACAGAAAGAAACAGTTGCTTCACTACCTCTAAATTTTGTAATATTCAAGTCCTGATTACAGTATTCTAGGGCATCACCAACACTAGCACTAAAGGTCTGGACAGCAAGCTTCACTTTCATTTTTTCTTTGTAATAGTTAATATGTCGAGACCTTAGTCTAGTGGCACAATGAAGCCCTGATTCCTCTTGCAGCTTCACCAGTTCTTTAAAATAATACCATTTAATGGAGTCTCCATTTCCATCACATAATATGCCCCAATCACCCAAAGTATTACGTACTAATTTAATCATGTGGCATGCGTCCAAAATGATATGTACTTTTTCCTTATTCACTGGGTTTATGAAATATGGTTTCATTCCAGGAAAACTGAGCTTTGCTCCCAGCAAATTTGCCATCGAAATGTTGGATGCACACCCATCAAATGTGATACTTTTAATCAGCACCCCAGTTGTTTCCAACTGAAGGAAAGACCCTTTAATTAACATTGCCTTTTCTTCAGCAGATAAAGCATCTACTAAAAAATAGGCAATGGAAACCTTCCACCTTGTATTGTAACCTACAAGCATTATCACAAATACATGTTTTGCATGTGGTAATTGGTCACTATTCTGCATACCAGTTCCATAATCAATGTATCCAACATTCCTACTACCAGTCCAATGTACATGCTCACGAATGGACATCTCGTCAATCACAAGACCTGCTAGTTGCTTTCCTTTTCCTTTTTTAATGTCAACTTTCATTTTGACAGCCCGTATTGCTTCTGCACTAAACCCCGGTGTACCATCTACAGTAGAATACCATTTTGTTAGTGTTCTAGGATGCGGGAGAGAATTTTTGCCAAACACTTTTCTAACATACTGATATGCAGAAGAAGAATAAAAATTTAATGTTAAAGCAAAGCATCTCAGTTGAGGGCTATATTTTCCTCCTTTGATGCCCTTTTTGAGGTGCCTAAACAGTATGGCTTTTTGTACTTCAGGAATACTTTCCTAGAAATATAAAAAAGAACCTTGCTTAAACAATGGTAATGGAGCCTGTTAGTGCGCTGCTTTTTTCATGGAGCATATATACATACTATACAATCAACTATACATATGTGTGTATGTGCCTCGCATTCTTCCCATGAGCAAGTAATTATTCTACTGATCAAAGGATTTTATTGTGCAGCAGTTGAACATTAAGAACAAGATGCAAACTACTAAGTATTTACAGAAAACAAACAAACCAACTATGTGTGATGCAAAAAAATAAATAGTTTACCTTCAATACCATGAGCTGCTGTGATGAAATTTTCTCTTTTTCCATCAATTCGTCCAACAATAAATTAAGGCTTTTTATCTTCTTCTTTTGTCTTCTGGCTATGCACTGATAATACCTGATATTTCTCCTAGACTTTGCTATAGTATGATGAGCTACCTTCCAAAATCTTTTTCTCTTCTGCACATCATCTAAATCACTTTCTTTGAAGTCCCCAAAGAAAATTGGATCTCTTCGTCTTCTAAAACAATAAGAAACATTTAACACATAATGAAAGAAACTAATTTCTGATCTGTAAATTCATTTAATAAATGCTTAGGTAAGCAAGTAGATAGAAAATAAATAGCAATAACTGTTATCCTGTTACCTTTTAGGGAATTCCATTTGAGATGTAGTAGTAGGTTGCTCAGAATCTATATCCTCATTTTCAGCACTGACAGATTCACTTGACATAACTCCTAATACTGGTTCAGTATTTATGCCTGATGTACTGGCAATAGCACCATGTTCTGTAAATAATATTAATCAATAGACGGTTCAGTCATTACTTATGTACTGAAGTGCTAACCTTTGTTATCAGATATCTTTCGTTTTAAAGGTCTCCTTATTACTACTTTTTGCTGTAAATGTACGGGGAAATTAAAAACAGAAGGCACTGCAGTTTTCTTGAGAACTGTATTTCCATGTACATTCAGCTCAAAATCGTCCTTTGTAAAGTGATTTTCGCATATAACTGTCCTATCACTCGGATTAAAATTCTCCCTTCTTATGGCAACTAACCACTGTTTCCTCCTTGCGGGATCCTTGGGTATACTGAAAGTAGAAAACTCTAGTTATAGGCTTTTCATGACCAAAGTTTCTGTTATTTAATTCTGTAATCTTTGCCATAACCACTGGCCATAACCTACCTCAGAAATTTTAATTTCACCCCTTTTTCTCTTCTGGTCGTACAGTTTATAGCACAACAAGACTGCACCATCTTGTAATTGGTTTGAAGTTGTGAAAAATCAACAATTAAAACTAATTTCAAGGCAAAAATATGAGTAAAGCTTTCCACAGTGAAAGAAACACATGCACAATACAGATCTAAAGGGGCCTACAGACACACGAACATGTATTAAGACATGAACGCACGTCGACGTTTGCGCGTTGATGTTCGCCAGTGTGTAGACAAATCTCTCGTTAAAAGACCGACGCACATGCTTTCTGTTTTCGCTTGAATTTATGCCTGCACAGACTTGTACGCGCGTGTATGTATGCCTGTGTGTAGACAAAACGTACTAATTTTCACAGACTTAATTCAGTGGCGCGACTGCATTCGTGTATTCTGTTGTTAGGAGCAGGGGGTCAACTTAGAAGTTCATTTAGTTTTGAATTTGTCAATATGGCAGATTTGAGAAGTTTTTCCAAAGAGTTTATAACAGAGTTCATAGAACTATACAAATCCTATCCATGTTTGTGGCGAGTAAAATCAAAAGACTATATGGATCGCAATAAAAAAAAACGAAGCATATAAAGTGTTGGTGCTGAAGCTCCAAGAAGTTGAGAAAAATGACAACAAAGAAATGGTTAAAACTAAAATTAATAGCCTCCGAGCTAGTTTTCGGAGAGAACTAAGAAAAATTAAAGAGTCGAGAAGATCGGGTGCTGCAGCAGATGATGTTTATATACCACATTTATGGTATTATGATCTACTTTTATTTATAAAGGATCAGGATATCCCTAGACAATCCATTAGTAATATTGAAGATGTGACAGTGAAATGGACAGTTGCCATTCAGAAATGGAAAATGAAGACGCTCTAGAACTGGAGGTAAGGCCTGATTTATTTATTTGACTTTTACTTCCCACGCGAACTGGAGAGGAAAAGAGGAAGTATTGTAATAATAATAATAATAATAATAAATTGCTTTTATTGCTCATGTAAGTACAGAAAAAGAAAAAGTACATAAATCTGATGCAGTGAGCAAACGGCAAGGTTCGCTTGATTGACAACCATTAGCTGTCAATCCGCGCTCTTCCACCTAACCAAATCGCGAATAATTTCGAAAATGAGGTATTATATTTTATGGATGGTATATAATATATAACACATATATATAAAAAACATGGATATGCTTGAACCGATAAAATCAATGCGTGGGAATTGCGGAGTCAACCTACTTGATGCCATTTTTTGATTTCATGTAAGAAATAATGAAGTAGTACACATATTAATATAGAGGGTAATAAAAAATCGTCTTGATATTTTGATTCGCTTTACTTCAACTTAAGTACTTAGAAGGTATAATACATAAATTAGCAAATCATTCTTTCCTGTCAAGCTACGGATCCCTCATTATTAAAGTAGTTCAGAAATAACTGTCTAACTTCTTGTGCATCCTTGTTTGCTCTTCTATTGTAACCCGGTTGCAAACTAGTCATCTGATTTGGTTGCAAGCCTAATTCAACAGTGCCATCTTCATGGTTCTCCCTGTATAAGTTGTTATCAGGTGCATACACAGTGGCAGTTCTTCTTCTCAGAAAATTATGCAGAACACAACATGCCATCACTACTTTGTCAATTGCTTTTAAGTTAATAGATATAGCTGTGTGGAATATTCTAAATCGAGCAGAGAGTATACCGAAAGCATTCTCTACTCTACATCCTTGCCCTTGAGAGACGATAATTGAAAATTTTCTTATCATGATCCCAGTCTCTCTGGCTAAATGGTTTCAAGAAATCACAGCGGAGTGCAAACGCTTCATCACCTATAAAAACAAATGGCAATGCTTCTTTACTGTTCATTGTTCTTGTTGGAGGTGGTATGGAGAGTTTCCGGTAAAACTGGTTGTACTCAATAACTCCTATAACTCCTCCATCAGATATGCGGCTGTTGATCCCGAAATCACACATAATGAACTCGTAATTTGCGTTGACCACTGCCAAGAGCACTAGGCTGTATGCTCCTTTATAGTTATAAAAATATGAACCACTTCCGGTGGGCGGTTTTATATTGACATGTTTTCCATCTACCGCCCCCAGGCAGTTCGGACAGTTGCATCTCTTTTCGAAGTCGTCTGCAATGTTTCTCCATTCATTCTCGGTCGTTGGGAATTGAAAAAAATCAAAAATATATATTTTTTTTGCATAAAACTAGATATGATGTAAATGAAAGTCAAGAGAGTGAGCTGAGCTCAGTACCAAGTCCACCAATATCCAGAAAACATTGTACCGCTGCCTGCAGCTGGAAATCGGGGAAAAAAATAAACGCAAGACAAACTCTGATAACCAAGAAGCAGACAACGTGTTGGCGGCGGTAGGAGAAAGATTACGTTCCAAGAATGACGATCAATTCGCCATTTTTGGGAAAAATGTCGCAGCAAAATTGAAAGGACTCCCAAAAGAAACCAGATTATACACTGAGAAACTCATAAATGATCTGCTGTTTGAGGCTGAAATGGGTAACGTGTCCAGAAATACTAGGATTGTTTCGTCAGGAGACAATGAACAGAATCAAAACAATTTTTCCAGTAATAGCGTTGTTGATGCTTGCTACCCTAATCAATATAACTACAATTCAACTCAACCTATAAATATATCAGGCACACAAAATCAAGCTCAAACTTATTTGCTACCAGCTATGCCACTTAAGCCCCAGTGCCATCAAAGCCATCCTCAACAAATCAACGAGGGTAGCTCCACAGTTTCAACTTATTTTGGATCGTATAATCCTCTAAGTGAAGCTAACATTTAAGGTCCAGTTTATATTTACATATAAGAGTTCCATTAGATTAGCGTTGTATGTATAAAAATAGAATACTTGAGAGTTTGTGTTTGTGTTTATTTTGTTTATTTTACTACTAAGTAATATACTCTGTACCCACCTTCATATAGTCTTTCTTCAGTACTTCATAAATAGCGCTGCATGTCTCTGGAATTATGTTGCACAATGACTGTGGAGAAATCAGGGTAGAAAATTTTAAATCTTCATAATTCCTCCCAGTGGCCAAATACCTCAATGTGGCCGACAGTCTTTCATGTACCGATATAGCGGGTCTCATCGGTGTGTTCTGTTTTTCAATAAGTGGCGAAACCATCTCTAGGAGTTTTATATAACTATCTTCATCCATCCGGAGGTAGTTTCGCCAATCATCAGGTTCTAATCGTAGCTCTTCAAGTAAATTGATGTGAGAATATTGGCTTCAAAAGCCAATCTTTAACCCATTTTCTTCGTGGCTGACGTCTCTTTTTCAATTGATGTTTTCTTTTTTTCACAATACAAACGCACGCCACTGCTAGTAAGTTTAACTCATCATCGCTAGACATGGCGACAAACTACAACATCGACGTGGAGAAAACTGACACACAAGTCTCTATGTGTGGAGCTAAAAGTAGATCGACGGGTATCACTGCGCAAACATCGCCGTGCGTTCATGTCTTAATACATGTTCGTGTGTCTGTAGGCCCCTTAACGTACGACATTTGCCCGCGTTAGCTCTATCCTTCACGTGCTGTCTCTCTTGCACTGCGCCGGCGTCAATTCCAAACGCGAACGGCAGGTCCATAACCTTTGATATGTCGATGGATAATGCACATCGAAATTTCTTACCATGCTGTGGCTTCAAAGTTGAACCGTTGAGAAAATCAAACTGATCTATTAGATGAACAAAATCTGCTGTTTGTAGTGCTTCAGTGGGTAAATCACCTGAAACAACAAATGTCTCTATAGATGCAGCAATAGTGTGGCTAAGCAATTGAGCTGCCATTTTAACTTTCATCTTCATAAATGAATCTCTAAAATTAAAATGGTTGGGCGTCAGTTCACATAACTGTTTGTATGTTCTTGTTTGCTGATCAAGATTATATGCTTTGTGGATATGCTCAGTTTGCAGTTTTTCCACTTTCACATTCAATGATATTGCCAATAAGAGCATTTCGAGTCGACATTTATTGTCTTAATAATAAATGTGGAACATCAAAAATTGTAAAAATACTCTGATCATTGACTATAAAATGAAATGGACTTTATCTGTGGGTATTCTTTGAGCAAAGTGCCTCAAGTGCAGCTTTGTTCGTAGCACCCTGATCACAAACAGTGGCAACGACGTACAAAGCCATTCCCTGCAAGTGCTTGATCACATCAACTATAATCTTTTTCAGATCTGAGGTACTTCTTGTATCTTTCACTAGATAGTAAGCAACAACCTGCTTAAAACTTTTACGAATCCCTCGTATCATGAAAGTAAGAGCATGATTAGCTAACTTGTCAGTTGTCTTGTATCCCAAATCTTCAAAGCCATAAATCTTGTCTTGATGACTTTGAAAATAAAGTCCTTTGGCAAGGCTTATTTCATCAAAGATGAGGGTACAGTGCCGATCAAGTTCATCTAATTTAGATACTCTTAATTTCAGATGTTCTAACACCGGTTTTATGATGCCAGACTCAAAGGGAATCTTTGACAAGAGGGATTTTAAGGCTCCTGGAGGAAGGAATTGGAAATAAGATCTCAAGTATTTATACAGCCGGGGACTACGTTTGTAAATTGACACAGCAAAAGCCTTATCATTAATTGTCCACCGGCGCCCATTAGGTTTGCAAGTTACATTACGTAATTGTGAATTAATGAACTCCACTATGATAAACTAGTAAGTTGACTTTCAATAAACTTCAACTGTTTCGCTAACTTAGACAACTTGCTACAAGTGTTGCGGTGAATTTGATACATTTTAGATTCCCTTTCTGTTAATTGACTCTTACTTACTTCTAATTGTGTATTGCATGAACTCGAATTGTCTGACAGAAATGTATATTTATCTTGATAGTCTCTACCACAAAATCTGACTTATGGTAATTTTTCTGGCAAGAAGTTTACATGTCTCGCCGCAGAAGTTGAAGGAGAACCACAAATGCTTGCTGAGAAACCAAAAGAGCATTCCTTCAATGAAACTGCAAGATCAGAATGACTAACGGGTTGACTTAGAATTTGACCAACATCTTTTGGAACTGCAAGACAGTTCAAACGTGAATAGGGATCCTGAAGGGAAACATGATCAGACAGTACAAAGTGGTCTTCGCAAACATAGAAGTTATCAGATTTTGTACTGGAAGCTAATCCACAGGCATTGTACCATAATTGCATTTGACTGGGATCTTTTGGAAATCGATGAAATTTCTTGGATGGGGGATATGAATGACTTACATTCAATATGTATTTATTTTGGCAATAAGGACATAGGCACTGCCGTGTCCATTTCTTGCTTGTCTTTGCCATAGTAGGAACAAAAAGCTTTAAGTGAAATATAATAAATTCCCTGAGCAACTTTACAATATTATCAGAATCAATGTCATGTAGGTACTCACCTGTATTTTTTTTAAGCCACTCCAATCTTGAAACATGGGTGACAGCAACTGGAACTGAAGATACTGAAAATCATTTCTTGATACACACTATTTATACAAAAATAATGTAGGCACAAAGGAACAGAGTGGAGTGAGATAATTTTATTCAGGATTTTTTTTTTCAAGGTGGACATAAAAGCATGCTTAATTAAGGGTTTGATGACATACTCTAAAGTAAAACTGCTCTATTTCATTATCACATCTTACCTATATTTATTATTTTGGAGCAGCATTGTTCCAAACCACTCCACACTTCGGCACATTTTTGGCGATAAAGGAAAAATGACAGCTTGATAGCGGTGACGTTGAAGAAAGACGTATGAACGACAAGTGACACTATCAAGACAAGTGACACCATCAATATTGACAGTGTTGCCGGCCGTTTTTTCACCACGAACGACGTTGCCAGATTTCCTGTGTTGCGCCTTGTCAGGCCTCAGTTGACGGATAGATGGAAAGAAGAAAGAATGCTTACTCAGAACAATTCAACCGGCAACCGAATGACTTTTATCGCAATGTCTTTGCAGTGTTAGAACAAATATGACACAGTGACCAACGACAATGCTTTTGTGGTTGCCTAGCTTCTTACGACAACTGTCACTCATTGTCATCTTTATCTTTATTTGGTCGTTTTGAATGATTTTCCTAATAATCGAGTAATAAAGACACACATTTATTCTATATGAGAAAAGCTTGTATGTATATGGTAGGTACAGGTCATATGTACTAATTTTGATAACTCAACATGAAATTCTAAAACATAAAATAAAACAATTCTATCACAATCTGGTAAAAATGTTGTCCTTATCAGGTATGCCACAGCCGAGTTGCGATGGTTCATTCACGATGGTACATGAATTAATTAAAAAACCGGCAGCAAATATGCACCTGGTGGCATTCAACTTTTTCATTTTCCTTGAATGACCATCAGAGGCTTCAAGAGATCTTTTCAAAGTCTGATGCATTTGTTAATGATATCCTTGAGGACATCATGAACATTGCAAAACTGAAAATTTTCAAGCAGTTCGGTCAGACCTGCTAGACTATTCGTCATTTGTTTGTCTGGGCAATCCGTAGGACCTTTGCCCATTAGTCACTGTCTAATGTACGTTAGTATGGTTTGTCAGTACTGGTTGCCCAGAAACCAGACAATGTCAAGGAAAAAGAGAAAGGAAAGAGAAGAAAAATGGAGAAGAGCATAGAAAAACAGAAGTGTTTAGTTTAAGAGGAGACACCTAGGCTTTTTGACTTGGTGCACGGATTAATTTTGAGGTGAACTGAACAAATTTTGATTCGGTTTTGTTAGAGTGTAATTTTAAGTTTACTAAGCCGTGGCCTTGAATGTTTACGAACTTGCTCCACTGTGTCGTCCACTGAGGCGCGCAACAGAGTGTTGCTGTGCGATTCCGCTTGACTATAACGTCGCTGGGCCTGAAGTTTGACATAATCCCTCAAGTAAGGAATGTCAAGGTCTCTGTGTAGTGTCTCGTTTGAGATATACCATGGAGCGTTGCAAATTGTTCGCAAAGTTCTACTTTGCAGTACTTGAAGACTTTTCATATGTGTCTTGGCAAGAAAACACCAAGCCGCACATGCAAATTAAGAATGTGCAAACAACGAACGACTTTTTAAAAAAGCGACTTTATTTAACAGAAGACGAATGAGTACTGGTCACCTTGGTTTACATGCATCTCTTACTTATAACCTACGCTAGAACAAAGGAATCGAAAAGTGCAAACCTAAGCAACTCTACATATTAGATTATCATCATAGCAGTGCCGTAATTCCTCCCTCTTCAAGAAGATTGAACCTCCTGGTTCAAAGGAAAAATCTGGTTAAGTTCAATGTCATTTTTGACTGATTGATTTTTTGGTTCTTTTTGCTTCAAAAGAGAGAGAGCAATTGTTTTTTTAAACAAAGTATAATTACAATAAATGTTAAAATACATAAAATAGTTACAATGCTAAACGTGGACGTTTTGTGTGAAAAATCTAAATTTTTTAATTTATCGTGTAATAAAACATTATTCAATTGTATGTCCGAATAACCCTTTACATCAGTATTTTCAAATAACATATTCTTATCATAGTTCACCATAATGTTAGGTATGTATAAAGGTTTCGAAATATCAGAAATCTTCAAATACTCAGTATGATCAATAAATGTTTTACAGTTTAAGCTGATAATAAAAGACGAATCAATTTCTTTTCTTTCTTTGGTACAATCTTCATATACTGGAATATTCTTGTTAGTATTCACTAAACAGTTATCATGTTTTAATTGAATTATTTCTGAAAATGAACCTTTTGCCAAGAATGTACAATTTTCAACATTAAGTAAGTTACAACTGGAATGGATTAGTATAGTACAGTAAAAATATTTATTACTCAATAATTTGCATTCATCACAAAAATGTATAGTTTCATTTTCGATAATATTTTTATGTTTCAATACCAGAATATTATTTTGGTGTATAATGGGGTATATATTGGAATATATAAAGTTACCAGTAACTGTTGGTATGTGAAGAACAAATATGATTTCTTCTTCGAGGACTATAATACTTAATTCACATAATTCGAAAAATTCAAAATTGTGCAGTTTATCAAGAGGGAGAAGTTCATTTTTGTCAAATAGATCACTTAATAACGAATGGATATAATTAATTTCAGTCTTACTCAGCTGTAAGAGATTTATGCCCTGATTTGTGCTCAGGTTAATGGTTAACAGTATGCGTGATAAATAATTATAAAATCTTTGAATAATTATTATCTCATTCAAGACATACTGAGAATTAGCGTATTCGCTATGCAATTTGTTGAGGTTATCCAAATTATCTCTCAAATTTTTCTTTATAATTAAAGTGTTATTTTCAAACCTGTCTTGTAATTGTTTTGCTACAGAGACGGTTCGGGAATTTTGTAATGATAAATTATCTTGATTTTCCTTCAGAATTTTCATATTTGCCATTATTTCGTCTAGATCAGATTGATCTAAATTGCCTGAAATATATTTTATGACGGAACCAAGACCATTAAATAATCCACGCTTAACTCGTTTAAATTTTAACATTTCATATTTGTCTAAAAGCAAATTGTATTCATGTTCAAGTTGTGTTATCAACGTATCATCTATTCTTTGCTTTGCAAAATAGACATTTGACGTTATTTGCTTGATATTTTCATTAATGAGAGTGAGATTTATATGAAAAAATGTCTTATGGTACGCTTTTAGTAGATAGGCGTTACCTAGCTCTTGCTTAAAATATGGTGCTTTATTCTCGATCAGCTGGATCTCTAGGCCGGCTAGTTGAAGGGCCTGGATTAGGATCCTGAAAGTTAGAAATTTTGCGTTGCGGTTTCACTCTATTCAGTCTATGCTTTTTTCCTTTAGTGCGCAAATTAATATGGACATTTTCTTGTTCGTAAGAGGTCTCTTTAGAATACAGGGGTTTTGTTTTATGTGAACGATCTAATGCAGATTTAAGATATACTGGACCTTCTAAGGTTGGAATTTCCTTATTTCGATTTTGATTAATTTTTTCTAGTCTTTCCGTTGCCTTATCTAGTACACGGTTCGATAGTTCTTTATAAAAAGGTAGTAATTCTCTGTACCGTTTCTCGTTATATTCATCATATAATTTTGTGGGGGTATCGATCAAATGCTTATTCAAATCGTCGTAAGGACCGTATAATAATGAAAATGGGGTATATGTGGTCGTAGAATGGACACTTTGGTTATAAATTAAGATAGCTGTCGTCATTAGATCAATAATCGAATCGATTTTATTTTGCTGACGTAAAATTTTGAGTTTTTCTTTCAAGGTACTATGAAATCTTTCAAGAGGTGACAATGATGAGGGGTTACCTACACTAGTAACATGACATTCAATTTTGTGCATATTACAGAATTCTTTTATAACTTTTGTGTTAAGTTCACCAGGATCAAAAGTTATTTTGTCAGGATAATTGTGATGGGAAAAGAAGTGTCTGATTTTGTTTAATATTTCGTTAGATAATTTTGATTTTAAATTGTAGGCCTGGGCATATTTACTAAATAAATCAACAAATGTTAAAAATATTTGTTGTTCGAAATATCTAGAAATATATGTTCAAATGGTCTTTTGGCTGTTAGAGGTCCTTCCATAGGGAGTTCGATTGGTCGTCTTTCGTATTTTGATGTCAAACAAGTATTGCACTGATTAATGTAATTTGATATTATTTTTTTCATATTTGGAGTGAATGCTTTTTTCTTGAAATGGCTGTAAGTTTCATTGATACCATTATGCGTTTGGCTATGATAGAAAGACAATTGTTCTGTAAATGAGTCTTTTAGTAGGTATATAGGCTTATAAGAAGCTTTAACAAATCTTATAACGCTGTTCGAAAAATACTGTTCTAAAAGTTCGTTAAGTTTAAATTCTAAAAGTTGAGTTTCATACCAAATACCATAAGTATGATCGGGCTGAAGATATTCCTTCATGAATTTCAAAAGTTGCTCTGTTTCAGATCCGCTTCGGACTGTTACCATTAAAGTTCCATTGCAAGACTTTGTTATTTTGTACTGATTTTTTAACTGAAAATGTATTCGATTTTTGAAAAAATAAAAATTCTTTTCTTGATACAATATATGATTGATAGGATTTTGTGCAGATGAATGTCGAGTAACATCAGATTGCTCAACAATTTTGAGTCGTTCATCTAACGGCATTTCATCTAATAAATCAATTAAAGGTAAATTATCTTCATTCAAGATTTCATCAAGTTCTTGGGTTGTTAATTCTTCTACAGAATCTACTTGTGGTAAAATGGATAAAAGATCGTCATCCTCTAAAGCGTTAATTTCAATTCTACTGAGCGCATCGGCTACAACATTGTCTTTGCCTTTTTTATATTTAATTGAAAAATTATATTCTTCTAACTGAAGCTTCCATCTAATCAATCGCTGATTGGGCACTGATAAAAAACTCAACCAAACTAGGGGCTTGTGATCACATTCGATTAGAAAATTTTGACCAAATAAATAAGGACGGAATTTTTTACAAGAATCAACTATTGCCAATAGTTCTTTTTCAATAACGCTGTAATTGCGTTCGGCAGAATTTAATGTTCGAGAGTGGAAAGCAATAGGCTTATCATTTTGACTAAGAACTCCTGATAGGGCTATATTGCTACAATCAGTTGTCAATGTAAATTTTTTGGAAAAATCAGGATAAGCCAGAATAGGTGGATTACAAAGAGCTTCTTTACAAAGTTTAAATGCATTGATATAATCTGGATTATTGATATTGATTTTTTCATCTTTACGTAAAC